TCCGTCCTCTACCACCACACCCGCAACGGCGACCAGGCCCGCGGGCACCTGGAGAAGGCGGTGAGCGGCCGCGGGCCCGCGTGGGGCTGGCCCCGGGGGGCTGGGGGGCCCTGTCAGAGGGGCCGGACTGTGATACGCGTACACTAACCCGCTGTCTTCTCTTGCAGTGGTTGATATCGCAGCAAGTATCCTTTTCCCAGCTGCCTGGAAGGAGAGCGTTGCTGCCTGGCCGACTCGCTTTTGCAGCGTGGGCGCTGATACAAAACACCTCTGCAAATAAGAGCCTGGCCCTGGGGATGGGGATTTGGCCAGCATTTTTAACGTGCTTCCGCAGTTGTGGGTTGTTTTCTGAGTGCTCATCCTGTATTAAGGATTTTTGGGATGTTGGAGTGTTGCTGTGTTGCAGGCGATGCTTAATATTTACTTAACTCTGCTGCTAGATTCCCCAGTTTGAAGATGTTAAGTTTGAGGCAGCGAGCCTTCTGTCTGAACTGTATTGTCAGGAGGTGAGTGCGCTGAGGGCAGTTCAGAAAGTGTCAATCGTGGGCTGTCTGATCTTGGGGCTGAAGGGCTGCTTCTAATCTTACTGCTTTGATCTTAGAGTAATATGTAACTATTGATGGTAGGATTTACCAAATCTTTAGAGCTCGGGTGCAGTGTAACTATAGAGCGCTACAATGTAAATCTGAAAGACTTATTTTTTCATTCTTGCAGTTGCCTCTGCCCTTGCAACGTTCGTCTTCCATAGCAAAGGAAGTTTACTTCGCCAGAGTATTTCTTTAGCCCTTACTAGGCTAATTAGCCCGTGACAGGCTAATTTAGGAAGTGGGGGGGGGGAGAAGGGAATAGAAAGTTTTCTGAGGCTTCTGTTGTGTTCCTTGATTATATCTATTCTTTTTCTCTAGGAAAGCTTTAATTGGTCTTTTCTTTCCATAAAACAAATCCTTGCCTTTTCTAATATGCATTTTTTCCTGTGTGTGAGAGAGTAGCAAACAAAGGAGTTGATCAGCTAATACTTCTAAGCAAACTTTGAGTCAGTTTTAGGTGTATGGTTCTGCATGTCGAATATTTGTTTATGTTGCTTTACTTGTTTTAAGGTTCTTTGTTTAGCAGACTTTAAATGGGGATCAGCGCAGAACGCATCTTGTTTAAGTGTTCTTAGTGATGAAAGTTCCTGGTAGCCTGTTTTTTTTATGTTAACTAGGATGTGTGTTTCCGTTTCAGAATTCAGTGGATACAGCAAAGCCTCTGTTACGCAAAGCCATTCAGATCTCGCAGCAGACTCCGTACTGGCACTGTAGACTACTTTTTCAACTTGCAGTAAGTGATTTATGCTGATACCCTGTGGCTGGGAAAACATCTGTATAGTTCTTAAAAAGCGATTGCTTTTGTACTTTTTGGAAGGAAAAAGAGCTTGAGTGTCTCTTGTTTGCAATCACTGGTATTAATGCAGAAACAAAAGAAGAAGAATTCGTGCTGTGAAATAGTGATACATTGCTAGACTGTTCTTAAAGTGCTACTTTTCCTGAGTGACCCAAATTGTTAAGATGGAGACCATATCCAGAAAACTGATGATCAGTAGGAGGAGCAGATTATTGCTGACAAACTATTCCCTGTTTTTTTCAGGTTATGCCATTTTTCTGCTGCTTTTGTAGAAGACAGGAAAGGTTCCTAAGGAGCCTTAAGCTGTTTGACACAAGAGCTGAGGGAGTTAATTGCTCTGTAGAGGTACTTTTCATCAGAGAGATAGTTAGCAAGTAATTTTATCTTTGAAGATTGTCTTAATGGTCTCCTGTACTTGTCTTCCTCTCCCTTCCTGATGAGCTTAAACAAGCAGGCTGACTTCCTTGAAGAGGAATTGCTGAGCTCCTTTGTATAGTTTAGGAACACTGAAACATGGAGAACCTTACTTTCCTATCGATTAAAGGACAAATGTTTACTCTGCAATGAGTTAATGCCTGAGTACTCGCAAGGAGCTTAAATGTTTTTTTCTCAGTGCCTTTGAATAGATCCTTCCTCAAAGCTTGACATTCTTTACTGATTTCTTTTCTGTGTGGTATTTCCTTTTTGGCTTTTGCTTGAGCAGAGGGGCCTATATGTCTCACAGCCTCACTGTATGGTCTACCGTTTTTTGGCTTTCTACCTGAGGTAGAAAGAAAAGAAAGACTTTTTTTTTCCTTTTTGAGAATGCCAAATGTTCCTGGCAAATGGGTCTAAGTTCAGGTGATACATTTTACATGTTCCAGTTGGATACTTTGTATCTCATGTAAAGCACAGGAGTAATTCAATTAAAAAAAATTGCTAAGCGAGTTCACTATGAGAATGCTGACCCATTATGGCTTTTTTTCCCCCCTTTTCTTTCAGCAACTACATACACTTGAAAAAGACTTAGTATCTGCATGTGACCTTCTAGGAGTTGGAGCAGAATATGCTCGGGTGGTGGGATCAGAGTATACCCGGTAGGTTCCTTACACTTTTTTTTTCCCCCCTCCTACAGAAAATATTTTGGTTTGCTCTGGTTTTATTTAGAGATGTGCCTTGTGATTGCTACATGGGCTTTGCAGGCAGACCACTATTTCGGGGTCTGCTCGTAGATCTGAGAATTTCTCTTATACATAGCTCTTCCATTTTTTTCTGTTAAACTCAGTACTGTTCATTAAGATTCTCTGCTTTTTTTTTTTTTTTTTTTCAAACTGAACTTTTACTCTCTTCTCAACAAACATTTTCCTGGTAGCCTAGCTTTGGCCTCAGAAATTACAGTAATTGGAATTGTTCACATCTTAGCTACAAACCTGAGGCTCAGATTTTAATTCCTGGCACAATGATTGGACTGTTCCATCTACCTTTTAAATTTGCTTTCTGTGGCAGGTTCCTTAATCTGTTTTGACTAGTGCCCTTGAAATGGAGAATAGCACACGTTTTTCCTCAGGGGTTTTATGTACAGTCATGGTTTGGGTAACTTTGTGTGCTTGTATAACAGTTTTGTTTTATTTCAGAGCACTATTTCTGCTGAGCAAAGGGATGGTAAGTTGGATATACTTTTCTAATAAAATACTTACTTGCTTAACTAGTATAAAACAGGTTACAGAGCAATAGAATATGATCGGCCCAGCTGTAGGTTTTTTGTTTAAGGTATTTTGCATGCTTATCTATGCTTTATATACTCTGCTTTGTTCATGTAGGCAAGCACAGTATTGAAATACTTATGAAATAAGCCCTAAGACAGCAGGATTCCTTTGCTATGTGAAATTCTTGTGAATAGAGCTTTATTTCCTTTATTAATTATGACAAATATGTGTTTTCTGGAAGGAAAAAGGACAACTGCAAATTGTCATCTGAGAACTTTTAATTAAGGATGAAAAATCAGTCATGTAAAAAGCCTGGTGGTCTTTCAAATGGGTGCCTTTAAGTCCATTTTTACTTAAATAATAGATCAACTTACCTGAGGCTCTGCTGTGGTTCTCTGAGTGTTAAAATTGTTTCTTGAGCACAAAATATAATGAATTTTTATTTTAAATAATAGCTTCTTCTAATGGAACGGAAGCTGCAGGAAGTGCACCCTCTCCTTACCCTCTGTGGGCAGATAGTTGAAAATTGGCAAGGAAACCCCATCCAGAAAGAGTCGTTACGCGTATTCTTCTTAGTTCTGCAGGTGACGCATTACCTGGATGCTGGGCAGGTACGTGTGAGTTGTGCGGCTTCGTAGTTCCCATGTTATGAGAACTGGGGAAAGACTACTGCCTTGAAAGTAGCTAATTATTACACCGAGGTAATTTCTGGGGGTTTTCTTTTGCTAGGCCTTGCCTTTTGTTAATGAACTTAATTTCTGTGTGATTTTAATCACATACAAAATGGAGAGTGAGAAAAGAAAATATGCTACAATAGGACATTCATTTCTTCTTACCCGAGCAAAGGCTTAGTTTGGTACACGTATAATTATGGCAGCCACTCTTCCTTTGCACGTGATGCCTGTGGAGACAAGGGGCTCTCTGTATGGTTTTGAAAACTGTTTTGAGTGTTCATTGATCTTATATGCAAGTATTAAGGGTCGATTATTGTTAATCCTGTAACAGACCTAAAGTAATCACTGTTTTGTCATGCTGGTATAGTGATTTATGTATTAACTAAGTTATTGAAAATGGGGATTGTGTGTTGCCTGGCATGTTTTCTGAGCTAAATAAATTTTCATTGGTTTGCTATCTGAGATACAGCAGTTATGTCTGTGAATCATCTTTCACAGGTGAAAAGTGTGAAGCCATGTCTAAAACAGCTTCAGCAGTGTATCCAGACCATATCTACTCTGCATGATGATGAAATTCTACCCAGCAACCCCGCTGATCTCTTTCACTGGCTGCCCAAGGAACACATGTGTGTGCTTGTATACCTGGTGAGCAGTTTTGTTTTACTTAATGTGTATTGCTAATCAATGAGGAATTGGTTAAAAATTGCTTATAATCAGCAGAGATGAAAATTCTGCAGACCATATGCTGCTTTATGTTACACTTAAGTAAGTAATGCTACCGTGGCATCTGTGAGACCACTGCTTTCAGTGGTGTCGGTGTTTGAAGGAACTGTACAAGAAGCCCGGAAACTGGAATATTACCCTATTAGTATCTAAGCCAAATAGCATCAAATCAACTCTTATGATTTAGAGCCACGATGGCTTATTTTTACCAACACAGGAGCAATTCTGACTTTACATTTCTGAAACTAGCTGCTCTATGTCTTGAAGATGGTTGTAGTTCTAATTGATGTCAAAATTCAATTTAAAAAGCTGCAAATTAAGAAGGTATCTGGACCCCCAAAGCCTGCCTTTTTGCAAAGATAATTTTTTGTAATCTTTCCTCATCTTCCGGCAGGTGACAGTGATGCATTCCATGCAAGCAGGGTACCTGGAGAAGGCTCAGAAGTACACAGACAAAGCACTCATGCAGCTAGAGAAGCTAAAAAGTAAGGTTAAGGATTAGAGTTTAGCTGATGTTGCAAGACTCCATTAGTTGGTGCTAATTTAAAGGGGGGGGGGAATCTTGTTTGTAGCCTATTTCTGCTGCATCTAAGAATTTTGCTCTGTTCTGAAACTGGATTGTTATTTTAATTTTGAATCCAGCAATGGAGATGGGGAGGATGTTTGTAATTTGGTAAATTAGGTAGTAAATGCATGCATTTTCTTGCTGTATATCTGATTTTGCATGCCTTTGGTTATCCAAGTTTCCGCTCCTCCAAAATGAGCATATGTTTCCAAAGAGTTCTTCCTGAACTGGTGCTCAGACTCAACTCTTAATTCAGGAATCAGTTGTTATAAAACCTGTGCCATCCTTCCCGTGGTATGTGGAGAAGGAGGTGGGCAGTTTGCTGACTGCTTTGACACTGGATGATTCAGCAAAAGACATCACTAGATTTCTACACAGGAGTTATTGTGCTAAACCACCTGCAGTTCAGGAGGCTAGCTAGGTACAGTAACAGCTATATGGTTAGGAGGTTAATGTTGTCTTAACTTCTTGAATTATCTTTGTTTCCCCTCTTCAGTGTTGGACTGCAGTCCTATCCTGTCATCTTTCCAAGTTATTTTGTTGGAACACATTATCATGTGTCGGCTTGTCACTGGACACAAAGCCACAGCATTGCAAGAGGTAAAGGGGTTTTGATCATCTCCCTGTTCATGAATATCTGTGAAAATAATTTTTAAAATATGGGAAATTCATGTATGACTGGGGCTCAGGTGGCAGTTCCAGCAGTGCTAAACTACTAACTGATACAGTCAGGCCTGACAGTGCTCAGGATGCTGCAGTTCTGAAGCTATGGAATTAGCTTCCTCCCATGTTTCATTTAAGAACAGCAGATCTGCTTATGGAGTCAGCAATAATTCGTCAGTGGCTGAAACTAACACGTTCTTCCTGATCCTTCTTCATGTTCTGACACTGGTATCTTCCTGTAGCTCAGATTCATGACTGGGGGTGGCCCTTAACTCTTCCCCTTTCTTTTACTTCCTCCTAGTGTTCCTATCTCATCCAATTACTTCTCCATTTTTGAGGTTCCCTTTTATCTTCCCACTCCCAAAGCCTTCCAAGTCTGTGCAGCCGTATTTAACTTTGGGGAAGGAAGGAGGGGGATAGTGTTCTCTAACGTTCTGTCCTCCCAGTCATCTTTTAGTTCCTGTTTGTCTGCCTTTTATTTATAAGATGTACTATGGAATTGCTGTATTGTTTTAAACCTTCCCATCAATGTTCTCGAAGGAAAAATTAGCCTGTCATTGGTTATGGCTTGTAATACTCTTTACAAACAAATACCCAAAGTCCTTTGGAAGGTTTTGATTCCAGTTTTTCTCTTTCATGCCAACTTGAATTTGAGTGTTTTTAAAGAGATCTGTGACTTTACTTGCAGGTGGTGCCACCGTATGGTGGAGCTGCTACAAAGCAGATAGTAGAGCATGTGTGTCCGTTTGGGAAAGTATGTGTGGAGCAATGTGTGTACCTCAGCTTGAGGCAAGTATAGCCTCTGGTCTTAACTAAGAAGCATAGTTCAATGAATTCTTGAACCAATCATTGAGGAGATGTGTTGAATGTCTTGTATGATGCAAGTACATGGATATAGCTCATTAAATAAAATGAAGAATAAAGTTTTTTAAAAGAAATACTATTTTTTTCTAACAGATTTCACAAGTCTGTCAGCTCTGCCAGCAGTCTCCCAGACTGTTTTCTAATCATGCTGCCCAGCTGCATACTCTATTGGTAAGTGTATATGATTGATAGTAAAGTTTGACTCTTTGTAGAACTATACGTAAGATTCATACTGAGCAGTCACCAGTAACTAATGAGAATGTAAAGATGCAGATTT